TCTAAAGAAGGGTCCAAACCCGAAACGTCAGCTTTCCTGCTCCTCTGATGCTGCTTGGCCTGCTGTGTTCATCCAGCTCTACACCTTGTTATCTCAGATTCTCCAGCATCGGCAGTTCCTACTATCTCAGTTCATGCATATATTCTGTTTGCAAAAAAAAAGGAAGGGACCCTCATCCCACCTACTCCAGAGGTGTGTAATAACATCTGTACATAGATTGATTAGAAAAATAAGGAGGTGCCCACTTGTGACACAATGGCAGCGTCCCTAACACCTGAACAAGGAGGCCCAGGTTCAAGTTCCACCTGTTCCAGAGGTGTGTAATAACAGGATGATTGGCAAACATATGTGCAAAGAATTGGGCCCTGTGCATTCATATGTGTAGCTTCCAGGAGACCCACGTGCACCACGATGCGAGCCCGACTGACATTCTAAAATTGGTTGTCAGCATAATTCTGCGCACACAGGATTATCCAGTAAATGCTCTCTGATGTTGAGTACCGTTGTAAGTTTCGCAAGCACAGGCTGGTTCGGTTTGGTCAGTATCTGGCTTGTTGTGAAAAGCTGTTATGCCGGATATGCAGTTTGATGTCTCACCAATTGCCCTGGAGTATTGATCAAAAGACATTTAGCAAACTCATTAGAACCGATCATTTGTTCTGGAGAGTTTAATATTTTTAAATAATATGCCTGATTCAGAGGACCACATTCAAAAATGCAAGGTGGAATGTACATCAACACCATACTAACTTGTGAAGCTGGCTGAATCTATCCCCTACCCCTGATGGAATCAACCCCCCAAACCCAGCATAATTCCATTCAACCTGACACTACCCATCCTCATTCCAGCCAAACCCCAGCTTGGTACGAGAACTGCCCATTCCATGCCAACCCTGCTGGAATTGACACCATCCCCAGCCAATCTGACCTACATACGTACTCACCCACTTAACTGGCACTCTTACCACCTTACCTACCTCGCACCCTAAACACCTAGCACAGTACTGACTCACTTACTGTACACACTTGCTTTCTCATTCACTGTCAAAGTGTCTTTCAGACCTTTAACTCCTACACCATGGCAGCAATTGTTGCAAAAAGTGGGGTTTCTTGGCCTGCAAACCCACTCCTGTGCTGAATGGATTTTTCTGTGGTTTCCTCTGATGGATACATTCAGGAGAGCTAAGACTCGGAATCTTAGCCGACCGTTGAGGGAGTAATTTTAAGAGGAACGCAGACGAATCTGTTCCAATGGTAATCTGAATATCTGAGCCAATATCTATTAAAGCAATAATCTGACATTTTCAAACAATTAATCTTTGCGAAGTCAAGTAACGAATGTGACCTCCATACCTCCTGCATTAAACGCATTCTTGCTTGCCTCTCTCTTTCCCACTCCTCTTCTCGTTTCTGCCACATTCGTTGGGCCTCCTCCCTGGAATCAGAGAGATTCTGTTGCAAATTTAGAAGCCCGTTTTGCATTCTACATTTCAACTGTTGCAGTGAACTGATACATATTATAACAGCAATGTATTACATTGAAAGTTGAGAAAATCACCTCCACAGCAGTTGCCCCCACCCCACAGATTTATTCCTATGACACAACCAGAGCCAAGTCACATACTATTTATAAAGGCTCTCAGAAGAAAAGGACATTAAAGTTACTTCCATTCCAAAAAGGTTCTATTCTAATTTACATTGCACCATCATAGTGGAAACATGACTTTTGTATCCAATTGGATTTTTCCTTCCATTGAGTTGGAGAATGTAAATATACAAATTTCATTAAACAGAATATAGATTTTGATGTTGCTGCATGCTCTAGGGAATGACCTTTTAATGTCCGTTAAATATACTGGAATAGGAATTTATCTCAAAATCTGTTTGCTCTGGAAGCTTTGCGGCCTGCATTTCTGACTCTAGATTTGTGCTGCTGGTTACAAGGTGATAGAGGATGGAACATGACGGGGATTAAAAAAAAACGTTCAAAGTTAAAGTAAACAAAAATCTCAAAAGCTCCCTGGGAAAAGCCGCAGAAAGTACAACAGATTGAGACACTAATCATAAAGTTAATAAAAATGCCTGTTTATAAATTGTCCTATTTTGCAGTTTTGCACTGATGAGTATTTTGCTAGCAAATAATGGATTACAATTACAGCACTCTTAATGCTCATAAGCAAGTGGAAGGTTCAAATAATTCATCTGCCTACATTAGAAACAGGATGTAATAATCCCTTCATCCCTTTCCCTCCAATACAATTACTTGCCAACCAAATAAATGGAGCATCATCAGCTCAAATGATCATGTCAGACCTAAATATAGTGTCCAATTCTGCCTCACGCTCTCTCTCCAACTGAAGCTGCTCCTCAATGACTTTCTTCATCCAGGCAGCATCTGCTACGGCCTGTTCACGCCTCGCTGATTGCAATTGTTGGTCTGCCTCATCTTTTTCAATTAGGGACGCAAGAAATTGGCGATCCATCTCCTGCAAACAGAAAAATAGTACAAGAGAGCTGCACAGTGCAAAATGTACTAAAATCCGTAAAAAGGTGGACATGGTATTCCTGAAAAGAATCCTCAGATGAATGATAGACCATCATTGGCAATGAAATCACTCAACAGTACAATGATATGTAACAGTCTTAATCCTGCAATCCAATCGTAAAAAATACACAGCATTGTGCAACTGGTTCCAAGAGTAATGTTCACATTTCCAGTTACTCCAGACAGCCATTTGAAACAGGGGGCAGTGGGTTGAGGGGAAAAACATTCTCTGCTCCCCTACCCACTTGATCCTTTCCTTTTTTTCCACTGGATGTCTGTCAGCACGTGATAGATAAAAATTGCCTCTTGAACAGCCATCAACTATCCAGTTGATTTTAAGCTGGTCCCTGGTGAGTCACAAGGGTCTCTGAAGAATTCTGCTTAAAAAAGCCCCACAAACGCTGGCACAGCACATTTGAGGTCTGAAGTGTTACAGCAAGGAAGGGCAGGTGGCAGATCTATATTCCCAAATTTCCATGATAAGCTCCATATTATCCCATTGTGGTATTGATAAAGTCAACATAAACTACCACTAGGAGGAATAGTTACTAACATTGCCCTTAGTCATGTTAAAGGGGCAGTTACAGTAACAAGCAACACATTCTATTCTCTGCCCTCCCCATTAAATGTACAGCAAAAGACACTGGAAGAAGATAAATAATACTTTGAGAGAACAGAAATAAAATAAAGCCTAATCACATACTTAAATAATTACCTGCACTGAGGAACAGTCAGATAATTGCTGGAAGAAGCTGCTCACTTTTAAATCGATTTTTACTTCATACCACAGTCCTGCACTATTCTTAGATTCACACAGTGCAGAAAAGTTCCACTGGCCCATCGGGTCTGTACCAACAATAGCTAACACTAAAACATACAAATGCCAATTTCCTGCACTTGTTCCATATCCTTGAATGTTATGATATTTGAAGTGCTCGTGCAAATCCTTTTTAAAGGTTCTAAGGTTTCTGGCCTCCACTATCTTCCCAGGCATTGCACTCCAGATTCCCACCACCCGCTGAGTAAGAAAGTTTTTTTCCCCAAATCCTCTCCGAATCTCCTGCCCCTTACCCTGAAATGATGCCCTCTCATGATTGACCCCTCAACCAATGGGAACAGCTGCTCTCTACTCATCCTGTCTATACCCCTCATAATCTTATACACCTCAATCATGTCCCCACTCAGTCTTCTCTGCTCTACGGAAAACAATCCGAACCTAACTAGTCTCTCCTTACAGCTCAATTTCTCCATATCAACCAACATCCTGGTGAACCTCCTCTGTACCCCATGCAGTGCTATCACATCCTTCCTGTAGTGGGGTGAACAGAACTGCACACGTACTCCAACTGTGGCCTGACCAACACTCTGTACAACTCCAACATTACCTCCTTGCTCTTATACTCTATGCCATGACTGATGAAAGCAAGTATCCCACAAGCCTTCTCAACTATCCTATTCACGTGCTTTGCCAACTTCAGGGGTCTGTGAACAATTAACCCAAGATCCTGATGTTCCCCTAAGCTACCCTGTGCCTTGCCATTCATTAAATACTCCCTCATCTGGTTTCTTCCTCCAAAGTGCCTCACCTTGCCTTTAACAGGTTTAAATACCATCTGCTACTGGCCTGCCCATCTGACTAATCCATCCAATCTTCCTGTAACCTACAATCATCTTCCTTGCTCTTAAACACTATCAATCTTGGTGTCATCTGCAAATTTGCTTAACATTCCCCCCACATTTTCATCTATACCATTTATATAAATAACAAACAATAAGGTCCCAGTACTGATCTTTCTGGTACACAAATTGACACTGGCCTCCAGTTACTCAAACAGCCTTCTACCACTACCCTTTGTGTCCTATTACTAAGACAGTTTCTGATCAATCTCGCCATGTTTCCCTGGATTCCAGGTGCGGTTAGTCTTGACTATATGTGGCATGCCTCCTGTGCCTATCAACGTGCTGTTCCTATTCAGTGATGCTGCCTATGAGCTTGGCCATTCTCAATGAAATGTGTTGAAAGCACCGAGTCATTGTGGAGCGCATGAGCTGAACAGACATCTCCATTCTCATCTCATGACATGATGGCTCAGGTTACTCTGACGTGTGGACACACATCTCACATTAACTCCTCACAAAGAGATATTAATTTTGTGACCCCTCAGATTCGAAGACCATATCCTGCTGACACAGGGAAGAAAAAAGGGAAAAGGATGGAAAGTGAGGCAGATTAGAAAAGCATGCAGTAGAAGAGAGGGTGAAATGAGAGGATGATGGAAGGAGAGTAAGAATCACAGAATCAATCCTTCCACCAATGGAAGAAGTTTCTCTCCACTGAGATAGACCCGTCATGATTTTAAATATCTAGATCAATCTTCTCTTCTCCAAGAGAAGTAGGGCATCTTACTTAATGTTCTGGGATTTAGATATTTTAGGCATGATAGGGAGGGATATAAAAGAGGTGGGGGAGTTTCATTACTGATAAGGGAGAATATCACAATTGTACTGAGGGAGGACATGTTGGAGGACTCATCCAGTAAGGCCATATGGATACAGCTCAGGAATAGGAAGGGTGCAAATCACGTCTTTGGGATTGTACTACAGGCCTTCCAACAGACAGTGGGTGATAGAGGTGCAGATATGTGGACAGATTATGAAAAAAATGTAAAAACAATAGGGTTGTTGTGGTGGGTGATTTTAACTTCCCCTAATACTGACTGGGACTTGCTCAGCACCAGAGGTTTGGAAAGGGGGCAATTTGTCAGGTATGTCCAGGACGGTTTTGAAATGACGTGCGAATAGTCCAGCTAGGGAAGGGGCCATATTAGACCCAGTGTTGGGAAATAAGCCCAGCCAGGTGATCGAAGTTTTAGTCAGGGAGCATTTCAGAAACAGTGGTCATATTTTCCTGTAAGTTTTAAGTTACTTATGGATAATGATAATAGTAATCTTCAGGTGAAAGTACTAAACTGGGGAAGGTTAACTACCATAATATTGGGCAGGAACTGAGGAATGTAGATTAGGCATAGCTGTTTGAGGGTAAATCCACATCTGGCATGTGGGAATCTTTTAAAGGCCTGCTGATTAGAGTTCAGGACAAGCATGACCCTGTGAAAATGAAGGATAAGGATGGAAAGATTCGGGAACCTTGGATGACAAGAGGAATTGACAGCTTAATCAAAAAGAAAAAGGAGGCATAGGTAAGGTTTATGAAAATGAAGACAGACAGAGCCCTCAAAGAATACAAAGTTAGCAGGAAAGATCTCAAACAAGGAATTAGGAAATCTAAAATGGGCTATGAAATGTCTTAGGCAAACAGGATTAAGGAAAATCCCAAGGCATCTTACACATATGTAAGCAGCAAGAGGGCAGCTAGGGAAAAGGGTACACAAAGGAGGGAATTCTTGCATGGAGCCGGAAGCAGCAGGTGAGGTCCTTAAGGAATACTTTGCTTCAGAATTCACAAAAAAGAAGGACGGTGAGCCTTGAGAGTGGTACGTTGATATTCTGGGGCATGTCAACATAAAAAAAAGGACGTGGTTTTGGGCGTTTTGAAAACCATTAAGATAGACAAGTCCCCAGAATTTATCTAAGAATGTTGAGGGAGGCAGCTGAGGAAATTGCTGGGGACTTGTATAAAACTTTTGTATTCTCTTTAGTCACAGGAGAGTCCCAGACATCTACAGAACAGCCAACACTGTTCCTTTGTTTAGAAAGGGCAACAGGGATTATTCGAGAAATTACAAGTTTGTGAGCTTTACATCAGCGGTAGGGAAATTACTGAAGAAGATTCTTAAGGATAGGATTTACTCAAGTTTGGAAAAAATATGGACTTTTTAGCGATAGGCAGCATGGATTTGCACAGGGAAGGTTGTGTCTCACAAACTTGATTGAATCTTTTGTGGAAGCGCCAAACGTGATTGACGAGGGCAGTAGATGTTGTCTATATGGACTTTAGCAAGGCCTTTGGTAAGGTCCCCCATAGCAGACTGATACAAAAGGTGAGGTCACATGGGATCTGTGGTGACCTGGTAAGATGGATACAGAGCTGGCTTAGTCATAGAAGATAGGGAGTAGTGCTGGAAGTGTGTTTTTCTGACTGGAGATCTGTGACCATTGTTGTTCCGCAGGGATCAATTTAGGACACCTGTTGTTTGTAAACAATTCCAGACTTTTCCTAAATCCGATCTATTTGTTTTCTGAGTCATGAATACACCGAGGTAATTGCTCTTTACAGTGCTTCACTTGGTCTTTTCATTGAAATTCAAAACTTCCAATTTTTTTCCTCTCTCTCCTGTCCTTTTCTCTGGCCAAGAAGAGTCAAGCTATTTAACAACACTGGGCATCACACGCAAGCTTCAGCCTATACTTGCCTATTGGTGTAAGACTATTACTGAAATATTTGAACTTTCAGATGCTGCAGCAGAGGAACCCTTACCAATTCTTCTTGGATTTGCTGTGCGCGTCTTCTCATCTGCGTCTTGTACTGACGATTCAGTATCCGGCTGCAAAAAGAAACAAAGAATGTGAACAAGTGCAGTACTTTCTGTCAAGGAAAGAAAGACAAAATATGAGAATTAATTCATTGAAGCAAAAATAGAAACCACAAAGTTATCAATTAGAAAAGCCTGTATCAAAATCCATCATGACACAGGCTGGAAGTCTCCAAGGGAGTGATGATTCTCCTTAGATTTTTCTATAGCTTTTACTACTATTACAAATCTTAAACCAAGGAAATCTTGGAAAGGACAACTTAAGCAGTTTTAAGAGGCTGGTTCAAGATGGTAAGAACAAAACAATTCATGCATACAGTCAAGAAAAAGTATGGAGAGAGGAAGGATGAGACACCTAAAAGTGGGCAAGATAATGGTTGCTAGAATGGTTAGCATAAACCTATTGGCGTTCAATAACAGTTTTTTCCCCAATGTCCACTGCATCCACTTTATGAAAAAAACTGATTACATTACTCAGAGACGATTTATTCAAGTTATGTAGAAAATAGAAACCACAATGGTCCCTCTCATTTAATACTGAAGAAACTGAGGAGAGTGAATATTATTTAAACATGGTTTATTAGAAATGTTAGAAAGCATAAAATATCAGGTTAATAGAAATGAAGACCAGAACTGAATAGAGGATTAGTGGGCTAAAAACAGTGCAGTAGAAACCATCAGATCGGGCAGCATTTGTCAAAGGACAAACACAGTTAATGTTACAAATCAATAGAACTGTTTGATGTTAAATGGTGCTTTTCTCTCCACACAAGCTTCAGCACTTTGATTTTAATTTCAGATCTTTTGTATCTGAAGTATTTTGCTTTTCTTGTAGAAGATTTTTGAGAAGAGGTATGGGTAGGAGTCGCATGTTGCTATTCCAAGCCTGCACTGGAAATCCCCACATTTCCTATGTTGGTTGCTCCATAATAAGGTTGTAAAACATAATTTGCAAGTTAAAAAATGCACTTCATCATCCCTCCTCAAAATGGTTGCAAGCTCTTAATGGCCACTTTATGAGGTCGAGGAGCAAATGAAGCACGCCACGTCCAAAGGCGCTGGACAGGAGGGAAGAAGTGACACCCATTAAGAAATCTTTAAAAATTACTAAAATCTTCAATACAGTCTATAATAAGTAACAAGCCAACTAACGGATTGCAATCCTGCTTTACTACTCACCCGAGCTCAGACTTCTTTCGTCGCTGTTCTAACTGTTTCCTTTCCTCTTCCAGATTCTCCAGCTCCCATTGTTGTTTCAATAGCTTTTCCTGTTCTGCCTTGAGATTCTTGGCCTGAGAAAAAAGCATGCCTGTATTAAATCAGAACTCAGCAAACACCTTCTAGCCATGCTAATGTCTGTTGATGGAGAGAAGTGATATTGGACCAACATAAAGGCTGGAACTTTTACATGAACCAAAAAGTTTCCGTTTCTCACAATGTCACAGCTAGTCCATCTTGAAAAGGACTGGAATTTATACCCTAAAGCTATACACATTACCAAGGGCTACTGAAATGCAAAATGAATGAGACCAAAGGTAAAACTTCCCAAAGACAAATTGGACTGAAATAGCTACATAGAGAAGATCATCCACATTTACAAATTCATTTCTCAATTTATGTCCTGTCCTCTCTTGAAGATTCTAGTTACTGCTCGAGACCTTTTTCTCCTGCACCATCAACCTTCAGGACATTTTTTTAAGAAGAAAGACAGAACATGTCCAGGGAACTACTATACAATTAATGGTAGGGCCCAGGGGAGTGTTGCCAAACAAAGACACCTAGGGGTGCAGGTGCATAGTTCCTTGGAAGTGAAGTCATAGGTAGACAGAGTAGTGAAGATGGCACTTGACACGCTTGTCTTCGTTGGTCAGAACATTGAGTGTAGGAGTTGGTTTGTCATGTTTTGTCTGTACAGGACATTGGTTAGGCCACTTTTAGAATACTGCATGCAATTTTGGTTGCCCTTCTATAGGAAGGATGTTGTTAAACTTGACAGGATGCAGAAAAGATTTCCAAGCATGTTGTTGGGACTGGAGGGTTTGAGCTATAGGGAGAGGCTAAATAGGCTGGGGCTTTTATCCCTGGAGTGTCAGAGGTTTACAAAATCACGAGGGGCATGAATAAGGTGAATAGCCAAGATCTTTTTTGTAAGGTGGGGGAGTCCAAAACTAGACAGCATAGGTTTAAGGTGAGAGGGGAAAAATTTAAAAAGGACCTGAGGGGTAGCTATTTCACACAGAGGGTGGTGCATGTATGGAATGAGCTGCCAGAGGAAATGGTGGAGGCTGATACAATTACACCATTTAAAAGTCATCTGTATGTGTACATGAATTGGAAGTGTTTAGAGGGATATGAGCCAAATGCTGGCAAATGGTTCTAGGTCAGATTGGGATATCTGGTCAGCATGGACAAGTTGGACCAAAGGATCTGTTTCCGTGCTGTATGACTCTATGGCCAGTCAGCTTAACACTGGTAATACGAGAAATAATGGAATCCATAATAAACGAGAAAATCAAAAAACAACTAAAAACTAAAAAATATAACAAATGAAGAGTCAACATGGATTTCAAAAGTAGAAACTTTGCTTGGTTAACTTCAGTGCTTTTTTTTGAAGAACCAACAGACAAGGGCAACACAGAAGATGTAATCTACCCAAACGTCTAAAAAGCTTTTGTTAGAGCATTACTAAATTTGTTAATGTATTAGTTTAGTGCGTGCAGAACTGGGGAAGGGCAGCAGAATGGAAAGCTGCTGGCTGCGAAAGAAAGCAGAGAGTAGACGTAAAGGGTAGATATCCAGAATAGCAGAGGGTGGAAAATATAATTCTCTAAGGATCAGCACTGGACCATTGTTGGTACCAATTATACAAACAATTTAGAGTTTGGAATCAAAAACACAACTTTCCAAATTTGTAGCTGTCATATTGGAAGAGACAGTCAAAATGAAGGAGGGGTGCAGAAAATAACAACAGGACAAGACATTAATAAATTTAAAGAATGGGCATATCATTGGCAAATGAAATTCAATATAGGTAGGAATGAAGTATTGCATTTTGATAAGAAGAATAAAGTGAGTAATTATTACTTGAAAAATAAGGTAGGTACAAAATAAATTAGGTAGAGACCAAATCGATCTGGGAGTACAAATAACTGAAAATTGCAGAACAGCTCAGAAAGGCTTTAACCAAGGTAAACCCAGTCCCAAGGTTTTTTGTAAAAGGACAGAATTTCAAAGTAGAGACAATACGCTCAATGTGTATTGAACATTAGTCAACCAGATACTGGGGCGGGTGCAAAAATTATTTATTAGACGATACCAGAAGTCCAAGATGATATTTAACAGGAAAGGATGAATCGCTTGGTCTCTTTGCTCCTGAAAGGTTTGAGTAATGACATGAGAGGCATTTAAAAGTAGTAAATGTTTTGATAGTGTAGAGACAGAAAAAAATCTTTATATTTGAGGAAAAACAAAATAAGAGCCCATCAATACTTAACAGTCATCAAAAACGCAGCAGGGCATTCAGAAGAAGCTTCTTTACCTAACATTGCACTTGCTACCATAGGAAGTAGTTGAGGTAGAGTGTAGGTGCATTCAAGAGGTGGTCTGATCAGAACATATGCAGGATGTGAATACAGGGTTATGCTTACTGTTACAGGAGGAAAGATAGAAAGAGGCTTAAGCATAATCTTTGGCCTTACCTACCTTGGCCAAATGGGCTGTTTTTTCTCGGTATGCTTCATGTAATTCTACCCAACATATCTTGCCAAAGTATTACTACTTTGTACAGAAACTTAGACAGTCAGTTACTTAGCCACTGAGGGCATCCAGAAATACTATTCTCTTCATGGGCTCCCATGGAATTGTAAACCGAAACTGCCCATTTGGCCTTCCACAGCACCATAAAACGCATCCTATATTAATACATCCTACGATGATGCTGTGGCTTTCAAGAGGTTATTTTGTCCTTTATTTTGAAGAGAGGTTGTAAGGCAGATGTACCGAGCAGCTATTGAATACCACTTGAGTAAACAACTTGAGGCGCCTTGGGGTTTTTTTTTTAAAAGTTGGATCAATGGATGCAGCCTGGCCAGCTCTCACAGACTAGGCTTTCTAGTATTTGTTTTAGGTTTTAGGTTTAGCTTTAAGCAGAAGCTGTTGGGATCTCAAAAGTGTTGGAAGCTTCAGTGAATATCTCCTGTCTTCACTCTCTCTGGATTGGAGAACTGCATGTGAGAATCTGTGTCGAATTTGCCTATTTACCAAGGGGTCTGTTATGTTTCCAATTGGGTTGTTTTTCTAAATTCCTTTCTTTAGTTGTATTTTAACTACAGTGTATAAATAAATTGTGGTTTGCTTAAAATCGTGTAGTTTGGCCAGTCACATTGCATTGGGAACAGACACTACATTTGCCTTTAAAGTAAGAAAAAGTTAGGCTCTGGCTATCTTATTAAAATATTTTGAGTGGATCCGGTCTGGTCCATACCAATCCTAATCAACTAAACAGTCATCAATCTAACAGTAAACAAGTACCATGCTGATCAATTAAAATACTCCTTCTATTAATATGCAGGATCTGTCTTTAGCAGTGTCTTCAGGCCTATTAAATTTTTGTACTTTTTTTTACTCATAGATAAATAAAACAATTTCATCACTTCATTTTATGCCCATTGATTAAATAGGTTAACAGCTTTAAGGGCATTCTCTTCTCTCCTTCTGTCATCTTATTTCCCCAAGGATCGCATGTAAATCATAGATCAGTGCAACACAGCAGAGTGGCTGACTAAATCAGCTGCTAGAAGTGGAAATGTGTCAGCTTTACTTATAATCAGTCTTCTTAATGCCATTGCATAGCAAAACAATACTCAATTCATCATGTCATATATCCACTTCAATTTACCCATCCATCATAATAACATAGAAGTGACAAAGTCACAATATGCTACTTGATTGAATCTGCTCATTACACAAAAACTACTGGATCTCTGACACAGCTCCAGGTTTTGCATCAAAAACTGTTGATTCAAGCTGAAGCAGATTGGTTCTCACCTCAATCTCCCGCAAACGCAGCTCCTCCATTTGTTGTCGCAGAATTTCCGCCTGCTTCAGGTCTTCCTGTCTTCTCCGCTCCTCTTCCTGCTTCATTCGTTCTATGGCCTGCCTTCGTGCAATTTCATATTCATTTTCTAATCTTTTCTTCTCTTCCATCTCTGCCTCTTCTTTCTAAATTTCCAAAAACAAGAGAGCCAAATAAATTTGTTGTTACTGTTTTGTCAGCATCTGTTTGAACCTAAATTTCTGTTCTTTCCTTCTCTACCCCAGCATCTCTGCTAAATTCAGTTAGGAACAACTTCATTAAGGTTCTGCTTAAAACTTTACTAATTGGGAACATGTAAATATAGAAATAACTATTGCTCTGTACATTCATGTTTTCCTAACCATCCATTACAAATACCACATCTGATTATGAGGGAATACTATTACACACCAGGGTTTGATTATCACACTGCCAGACATTGGGTAGTACAAACTTAAATCATACACCCCTAAAAGAGATTAGGTTGCTTATGCGAATGATTAGCACTACAGTACCTGGGGAAAAAGCTCAGGCAAGGCCTTAAACTTGCAATCAGACCCACAACCTCAACTTGCACTTACATCACTATAATGTTCACTTAAATTTGATAAGCTCAAATTTCAACAAATGGTTTAATTACCTGCTGTTTTTCTGTGATCTGCGAAGACCAGCTGCCTGTCACATGCATCTTGTGTAATTCCGACTCAATCTGTATCCAAAATAAATAACCAAACAAACTGACTCATGATTAATAGCGCCATCAATTTGTGTCATGCAACTAACAGGACGATAGAAGGCAACCTGGGGCAGATTTCGGTCCTCTATCATCTAGCAGTTCTTATGTTCCCACAAGCACTACAATTTTAAAGAAGCTCCTAAAAGTGTTAATTGAGGCAATTACTTTAATGAACTCTAATGTTAAGCTCGCTCAGTTCTCTAATTACGGTCCCAAGTACTAAACTCTATACTGCTCCACATGCAACCATAGCAGGTTTTCCAAGCTTATTTTCACAGCACATCAGCACACATATTGGACTTGCAGAGTTAAAAGAAATTCTTCCTTTTTCAACATTATTAATGGGATGAAAAATGAAAAAGTCCAGCTATTCCAGTGACAAATCTTCACTGCAAAAACTAGCCTGACTCTCCCAGTTCTAACTTCAGATGGAGTCTAAAACATCAGCTGTATTGCCCTGTGTTATAAAAAGAAAACCTGCTGGAGAAACTCGGCATTTGTGGAGAAAGACACAGGGTTAACATTTCGAGTCCAGTATGACTTTTCTTCAGATACATCCATTTTTATTGCTGTCTGTGTCATTTGGTTTGTTGGCGTGAATTTTACAGAAGTCCAATACCAAACTCTCAGTCCTATTCTTCATCATAAGCAACACAGGGACCCAACTGAAACACAAAATAGTTCATCTTGAAGAGCAGGAAAACTGGGACAGTGCAGCTAAGTCAAGGTGAAACAAAAAAAGCTACAATGAAGCCTTGAAGTGTCTAAGTTATTCTTGACCAGTTCTTTCAGCCACAAAAGATGGTGACTTAACACATTACTTCAGAAGCCCTAAACCAGACGGTGTCAAAAGTTCTCACTTCTTGCCACAATCCATTAACTCTTGCTGGAAAATATACTTGAGGAAACACCAGACAAAGAAAGGGTTAGGTTTCACTGCGCTGCATTATCCCAAGTCTGAAAAACATATCAACATTCAATATCTTGGCTCAGAAGTGTAGAATAGTAAGTTGCTTGAGATATTGGGTAGTAGTCAGTGTAAGTGGATCCATAATTCGACATGAAGGTCTTGAGGAAAGGATGTGAACAAACCTGGGGGAAAGCTCTTAGATATAAACAATGTTTACCAAGACTGGATTAAGAGTTTCAAAAATTCTTCTCAGTGAGAACTGTTACCATCAATTTTCACACAAGATACACCACATCAGATCAATTGAGAACGCACAAATAATTTGGACTAATGTTCTGATGCCCACCTGCTTGCATCCACTTCCGATTTTTAACAAAAATGCACCCCATAGCTTGGTTCTGAATCTCACACAAGAAGTAGGAGTTCTATTGTTTCACGCTATGGAGCTTTGAACTATGAGGGAGAACTCTTGGATCTATCTAATATAATGGTATTGGGACTTTACACTCACAGAAAAAAAGATGTTTAAATGCCCATTTGCCCTTTCTCAGTATTGCCTCAAAAGGGACTGAAGCTCCTATCCAACAAGACTACTAGTGCAGACATTAATTGATAATTGGGACAGATACAAGAGAGATAGCCTCACTACTCACCTTACGCAGTTCTATATTGTTCTTTTTCCAGTGTTCATACAACAATTGCTCAGCCACCTGAGAACAAGAATAGAAATGTTTAGTGCAAATTGCATAGGCATGTCTACATATTTTTCCAAAGTCAAATATTGTTGTGATGACAGTTGTAAAACTAAACTGCCAGAAAGAAACCTTTGATGAAGTACAACAGAAGTTTATTAGACTGATTCCTGGGTTAAGGGGATTCTCCTATGAGAAGATATTGCGTACACACAGCCAATACATAGGAATCTAGAAGAATGAAACATGTAAATTTACTTTCTTTTCTTTATTCTTTCATCACATGATTTTGGAGTTACTGGCCTTAACTGCACTTGAACTCAATGGCTTGCTAGGCCAGTTCAGAGGGCAATTAGAAGTCAACCACATTGCTGAGGATCTGAAGTCACGTGTAGGTCAGGCCAGGCAGATTTCTTTCCTTAAAAGACCATTAGGAAACCAGATGGGTTTTTACGACAATGATAGCTTCATTATCACCAATACTGATATGAGATTTAGAGTCAGAGTCATAAAGCACAGAAACAGATCCTTCAATCCAATTCATCCATGCCGACCAGTGTTCCCAAACTAATGCAGTCCCATTTGCCTACATTTGGCTATATCCCTCTAAACATTTCCTATTCACACACTTGTCCAAATGCCCTTTAAATGTTGTAACTGTACCTGCATCTCCCACTTCCTCTGGCAGCTCATTCCATACATCATCCTCTGCATGAAAAAGCTGCCCGATAGCTCCCTTTTAAATCATTCCCCTCTCACCTTAAACCTCCGCCCTCTAGTTTTGAGCACCCTTTCCCCAAGGAAGAGGCATTTGCTATTACCTTATCCATGCCCCTCATGATTTTATAAACTTTAATTGAGTCACCCATCAACCTCCTAACCTCTAGGGAAAAAAAGTCCTAGCCTATCTGGCCTCTCCTTATAACTCAAAATGATCCAGTCCTGGTAATATCCTTGTAAATCATTTTTGCACCCTTTGCGATTTTATAACGTCCTTGCTATAGCAGTGTTTCAAAAATGACCTCACCAACATCCTATACAGCCACAACATGGAGTCCCAACTCCTATGCTCAATGCTCTGACTAATGAAGACAATTTAAATTCAAGATTTATTAACTGAATTTAGAAATTCTGTTAGGAATCAACTGAATTCAATTGTGAGGTGAGATGTGAATGAACATTATAGTGATGTAGATACAGGTTGGGGTTTTTAGGTCTGATTACAAGTTTAGGGCCTTGCTTTAGCTTTTTTTTTCAGGTTACAGTGGTGCTAGTCATTTCCATAAGGCAACCTAATATTATCTGTTTTAGAGGAGTGTATTTTAAGGGTGTGTCTGTACTGCCCAATATCTCACTGTTTGATAATATAACTGTGGTGCAAAATAGTATTCCCTCATAATCAGAACTAGATATTTGTACCTTCTACAATTCCTCAACTTTTACAATGCAGATGACATAAACACTTGGTAAGATAAGAGCAGATGTGAACACTTAAGAAGCTCTACTGCACTCCATGTGAATGTATAGACCAATAGTTAAGACAATGTCTACGTTTTCCTAAACAGTAGAGTTGCTCTTAACTGAACTTAGCACAGATGCCAGGCAGAGAAAGAAAGAACAGAAATTTAGGTTCAAATGGATTCTGACAGAACAGAAACAACAAATTTATTTGGCTCTCTCGATTTTGCAAATTTATAAAGAGGCAAAAGTGGAGCAGAAGATTAAAAAAACGAACATGCAATTGCACAAAACTATATTGTGAACTGAATTAGCCTAGACCTCAGGATTACTAGCCCAGTGACTTTACTACTGGACCACCATCTCTCCTCGCCAACCTCCTTCAATTGTTTGATTGGCTAGGTACTAGGAGGAGGTTTCCCCCATTGAGATGTCTAGAACTAGGAGTTACAGCCTCAAAACAAGTGAGATAATTTATACATTATAATTTAAATAATATAGAACTAAGATGCAGAGAAATTTCTTCACTCAAAGGTTCCAAAACTTCATAATTCTGCACCCAGAGATTTTTGAATCCTCAGTTAGAGTATGTTCAAAATTAAGATCAATAGGTTTCGGGTACCAGAAGAATTAAATTATATGACTATACTAGGAAAGGTGCAGTTGAGCTACATCAGCAATTATCTTACTGAATGGTCCAGTAGGCACAAAAAGCAGATAGGCCCACTACTGTTCCTGCTCCTTATGTTCTTTTGTTCTCATATTTCACTCTTAAGAAAGTCAAGCAGCAAGTACTTCTACGTGCAAAGCTTCATTATCCCAGTTGTAACACAATTATACATTAACCCATTTCAAGGACCTGAAAGATAAACGTGAAGGATTTTTATTTTAAAGTCCCCCTTCTGGCTCAGCAGGTAAATTCACAACACAATTCACATACTAACACCCCACACATGGTTCAAGGTCTTATCCCTTATATGAGTTAGTTGGCATCAGCAGATGCTAATAAGGACCTCCTAATTTATCACAGTGCCCCTGAACCTGAAAGAAGAACAGTCAGCTAAGATTGCTACCAGACAGCTATGAAAAATACTCTTACTAGAAAGTGTACTTAATTCCAACCTCAGGTGAAGATGGTTTATGGCTCATTTCTGATAACATCTGTTTGACCACGTGGGATCCAATCATATCTGGATTTTAGAATTTTCTAGATTATTGAAATTACGTTAGAATGCCTAACCATAAGCAGATTAAAAACAGAAACATTTACGTGAAACATAAAATAGTGAAAAATTATTATAAAGCAGTAATTAAAAATTAGTTTACTTATTAAAATACCATATCTTCCATGTTTGTACTGCCTAGGTACTGTACTAAAATGATGCCCAATGACATGAAGGGAATAGGTATCTCCATACACTGCTTTATTTGAGCATCTGCAAAAGCAGAGGTGGTGGGGTAAGCAGATGTTGAAGACAGAGAGAGAGGTTGAAGGAGAAGTAAACAGATAAAAAGACAGCATAAATATAGAAAGAGTGTACTTATAACCTCACAATGCATTTTTTTCATGCCACACAAACACCCCATTCCCCCATCAATCGCCAATCTCTAATTCAGTTCAAAGATCAAGTGAGATAACGCCTTCCCAATTTCTTGCAGTGCCTGAACAGTTGCAGAGTGAGTCCATGGATCTGCTCAAAAAGCATCCAGGTTGATAATGTTTCCAGGCTTTCAATTTCTAATTTGGAAACTTTATAGAACAACTAACTACCCAAGAATGGAATTACAAGGAATGCAGAGCTTTGAAACTTAGACAAGTCAATAAATGTACACTAAAACAAGCATAGACCTGCATGGTGGCTCAGTGGTTAGCACTGCTGCCTCACAGGGTTCGATTCCACCCTCAGATGACTGTCTGTGTGGGTTTCCTCTGGGTGCTCCGGTTTCCTCCCACAGTCCAAAAATGTGCAGGCTAGGTGGATTGGCCATGCTAAAGTGCCCATAGTGTTCAGGGATGTGTCGATTAGGTGGGCCATAGGGGGATGGGATGGTCTGTGGGTTGGTGTGGACTTGTTGGGCTGAAGGGCCTGTTTCCAAACTGTAGGGATTCCATGAATGAATTTTCTTTTATTCTTGTTAAGAAAGAAATTTTGACTCTCACTCCCATTGAATGGAACTGAGTCATTACCTTCATTACAGAAGTAAATCATATAAAAGAAGTAAAAGCATAATAATTCAACCAACTACTGAATCCTCCCATAAATACCTGTAATCTGTTTATTTTATTTCAAGTACAAGTTGAAATGTAACATGTGACACATTATAAAACATCAGATTTTGTCTAATATCAGTCCAATGTTACTCTTTGGGTGTTTTTATTATAGTAAATTTGTTATATAAATGCAAAGTATTGTTATCTTTGAAGGGATATCATAAATCTACACTATCTATAAAATTTCAACCAGTAACTCACTCCTTGGCATCCATTATTCTATATATAAAAGCACTTAAATGCATAGATTTAGTTACTTGCTGTAACTTACTCCTAGGTATCCATTATTCTTTATTGATTAAATTACAGAGTGTAATCCATTCCCAGATATTCAAGCAGTAATGCACTGCCACTTGTAATCCTTGAATTGTACATCTTAACGATAAATGTCATCAGAGTATTCCATTATGGAAGTATAACAACTAGACCTGATGCATAGACACTTCCCAGCATGCACCACTGAATCTGCAATGGCAACCTGGCTAATCTCCTTAACCTGCTCACCTGCAAACTCGCAGCCTACCAATGCCAATTGTAACTGTAATGCCCAACTCCTGTTTTATTGCAATCAACTAACTTAGTGCAAACCAGAGACTTTTCTGGTCCATACAGATCAGATCCACACTAGCTAATACATTTATCTAGGCCACCTGGGAACTCTAAGCCAACGTTTTACTGTGAAACTATTTCTACCTTTTTCCTTCGGTCCTCACTGGCTGATTTCAGTTCCTCAGTCTTCTCCTTTGCATCTTCGATAACAGATCTCGTGTCCACCTTTAGTTCACGAAGCTCTGCTTCAAGAAGATCTTGCTCCTCTTGCAGTAAGCGCTGCAGTTTTTTCCGTCGTTGTTCCAGGTTACACAACTTTTCCTGCTGTTGGCGATTTCGGTGGTATGCTGTCATACTGCCAAAGAAAGGAAGTTACTTAAACATTCCCTTCTCAAAGCCATGAACAAATGATTCATTTCACAAAGTTCTAGCGTGGATAGCCTTGCCCTTAATTACTAACTAATTAGTATTGACCAAGATCAATTGAACCAGAAGTGTAGCTATTTTGGTAGGGTATGTGGTGGGTAGCATAACTGGTTTGAATACTCTTTGGAAGTCAAGATCAAACAGATCTTGACATTTACACTGGACCTGATATTTATACTTAAAAAAGGATTTTTTGTATTGATCAAGAGAAGCTATGAAAATACATGATTTCCTCATTTTTTAAAAAAATCTGATCAACGTCATATGCTTACAGAGCACACAAATTAAAACGGTTTCACCTGCACCGACCTGTTAATTGCCTCTCAAAAAAAATCCCTAATCTGTCATGAAGACATTTCTATTTCCTAGTGCCAGCCAGTATTCACAATAAGATTGGAAATTAAATGACATACTAGGTGTAGCTTTATTCTGCCCCATCTCCACTCACAATGAAACTGGACATTTCTGGCCTTCAGGTATCAAAGACAACAGCAATGCCTGTATTTGATCTTGAATTCCAAACAGCATTCAAATCAACTACGAAACCTACCCCATACAATACTTTTTAATAAAATAATTATGCATCTGGCTTATTAGGTAAATATGCAAAAGTAGTCTGACACAAAGATATACTGATCATAGAAGTAACAGATTTGATCCTTACTCCACACTGACTTAGCTGATCCTAGTTTGAGCAGCAATAGTGATTCTGCAGTGATTCTACAGTGATACTAGAACCCTGGGCAATGATTTGGGTGAGTGGAGGGGGTGGGGAAGAGAGAAAGGGAGACAACAGAGGTTGTAGACTTGCTTGCTGAGCCGGTGTGTTTGATTGCAGACGTTTCGTCACCCAGCTAGGTAACATCGTCCGTGTGCCTCCGGTGAAATGTTGGTGTTCTGTCCCGCTCATCCCACAACTCGAGCTACAAATCTTGTCAAAAACTTACAGACAACAGAGACAGAGAAGAGGAGTCACCCTGATTCCTGTTGGTCACACTTAATCATACCTGCATTCTCAATCTTCCTGCTTCAAGATAGGAAACTTAAGACCTTTGGGTCAAGATGCAATCAATCTTAAGTCAACTCAAAATACTGCAGATGTCGGAAATCTGAAACAAACTCAGAGAATGCTGGAGAAACTCAGCAGATCTGGCAGCATCTGCGGCAACAGAAACGGAGTTAACATTTCTAGTCTAGAGTCCTGAAGAAGAGTGATAATGGACGAAACTGTAACAGTTTTCCTCTCTGCAGATGCTGCCAGATCTGAATTTCTCCAGCATTCTCTGTGTTTGTGGCAACTGATCTTGGTTGTGTCATTACTAAGTTACAGTAGCCCATTCACCTCCTTGGCACATGCATGAACAACTGTCATCATCTAGCATCTCTATATACCCCAGCAACAGTCAACTTGTCCAGAAACAGGGAAGAAAACAATACAATACAAGCCAGCTAACTAATATACAACCACCTCTATCTTGCTAAACAAACAACTCTGCTATTTTCCATTCAAAGAGATGTCCAACTCCAGGTTCTAATGAATAAGAGGTCTCCTAATAAAATTCTGACAATTGTTTTCTACCTTTTCTGGAAAGACTGTCTTGAACTCCATTGCGCCTGCTTATTGCTTCGCACGTCTTGTTTTTTGAAGTATTGATGGTGCATCTCCCACTGCCTACGAAGGCGTTCCTCCTGATCCCGCTGACGAATAATCTGCTGTTCCAGCACTCTATTTCGGCTACTCCACCTGGATGGGATTGTAGGTAAAGCCATCTCGGGATCTATAAAGTCAAATTAAATTTAGTGGCACATGACATTAAAAATTTGCGTTATACAATTTGAATTTTCAAAAATGGCCCGATATTATTTTTCTCCAATTTTCTTCCTTATTATGTCTGTTAAAACTGACCTTTAGAGCAAGCTTCAGTCATGACAAGACATTCTAGTAACCTGCTCAAATACCACCCTTTAATATGATGGTGATCGCCAGTGAGCAATACATCTCCAGTCATTATAGCTGAGCTCTGATGTTCTTTCATTTAATGCCCCACAAGTAAATTTTCCAACAGCGGCTCACTGAATAGAAAACAGCAGTGACAACCCTGCTTCAACCACCCTAATCGAGTGTCCGAAATCTAGTCTAACATACCAATGATTGCTCTGGTCAGTATCATCAAATCCCAATCAAAGGTTTTTATCATCTTTTTCTTTAATATCTCCATTATGTTAATCATTTATTCACTAAATTTTCAAGCAAGTAAACAGAGTTATTTGTAACCAATATTATCTGATCTGTTGTCACATGAAAGTTGTAATGCAATGTTATTAGCTGCATTGTTACAAATAGCAGATCTACGTACAATCCAGGTTTCTGCAGGCATTGATATGATCTCATACTTACATGCCTTTGTCATTTCATGTTACCTGCTTACTTAACACAACCTCAATCAAATGGGGAAGAAGTAATTTAGCTTGGTAACCTTCTGTCTTGTGATACAATGGTTTGTACTTTGATGATCAGCACTGTTAAAGATTGCCTGGTGTGGCTCAGTAGCCTCTCTCTAGCATGGCAGTTTCTGTTGCATTTTCTGTAGATGATGATAGTGGGCTGAGAAGGTGCAGGATTTGCTGGCCTCTGTCTCCTCTGGCTTGCCTTCGACTGACCTTTCTGTTGCCCCCTCCCCTCTTCCAAAGTACCTCCAGTCAGTCAGCCTTCAGAGGTCACAGCCACAGTTGAGTATCTCCCAGTTGTCATTATCTACCATCTTCATAAAGATCAAATTTGTGTCTAAAGGGTGCTTCAGTCCTTGGTTTTTAAACTACTCAAATAATTTATTGCCATTGCTGAAATGGTTAACAGTTGTTCATTGTCATAATGTAGCACAGATTACAAAACATTTTCACTTGGATCTCAGAAATAGAAATACTCTATATTGAAAACCAAAACAACTGTGGATACTGTAAATCAGAAACAACAACAGAAACTGCTGAAAAAGTTCAGCAGGTCTGGCAGCACCTGTGGAGAGAACAGAAGGGTCACTGGACCCGAAACGTTAACTGATTTCTCTGTGCAGATGCTGCCAGACCTGCTGAGCTTTTCCAGCAGTTTGTTTTTGTTTGTGAATGCTCTACATTACTCTGTGCCTCCTATCATAAGATGTAGGAGCAGAAGTACGCCATTCAGCCCATCAAGTATGCTCCACCATTCAACGAGATAATCACTGATCTGATAAACTTCAATTCCACTTTCCTGCTTTTTACCCATAATTCTTGATTCCCGTACTGATTGAAAATCCGTACCTCAGCCTTAAACATACTTAATGACCCAGAATTGCACAGATTGACTACATTCAAAAGAACAAAAAATTCCTCCTCATCTCTATATAACTGGGTGACCACTTACTCTGAGGTGATGTCCTCCAGTTCTAGACTCTCCCACAAGGAGAAACAACCTCTCCCATTTACCCTGTCAAGCTCTCAAATAATCTTATGTGTTTCAATAAGATTTGCTCTCATTCTTCCAAACTCCAAAGAGTACAAACTCCTCAATCTCCCTTAATGAAATCCATCCGTACACAGAATTAACCTACTCAGCCTTCTCTGAACTGCTTTCAAATACCAATATATTTTTCCTTAAATAAGGGGCCCAAAACTGTTCACAATATTCCAAGTGCATTATGGTATAGTGTGCGCCTTGCATATTTTTAAGCAAGATCTGTGTTTCTACTCCATTCCCTTTGAAGTAAAGGCCAACAATCCATTTGCTTTCCCTGATTACCTGTTGAACTTGAATGCTTACTTTTGTGATTTATGCAACAAGAGTACCCATAGCTGTAGGGAAAACATTTTGACCAAGGCTGGATAAAGAATTAGTGGGGCTTAATCTGAGTTTTGAATATACACCATTTTAAAGTTATCCATAGAATCCCTACAGTGTGGAAGCAGGCCCTTTGGCCCAACAAGTCCACAATGACCCTCAGAGCATCCCACTCAGACATATCCCCCTGTAACGCACCTAATCTACACATCCCTGAACACCATGAGCAATTTAGCATAGCCAATCCACCTAGACTGCACAATTTCGGACTGTGGGAGGAAACCCATGCAGACACGGGGAGAATGTGCAAACTCACCACAGACAGTCGACCGAGGGCGGAACTGAACCCGGGTCCCTGGCGCTATGAGGCAACAGTGCTAACCACTGAGCCACCGTGCCGCGACCACCGTACAGCTCTGTGGCAAACAGGCCCTGGTCAGACTATTGAAGCACAGAATAATATGACTGGCGCAAACATAAGCTGTTGTGCGGTGGGGGTGTCCCTACTTCTCATAACATTGCTGAACAGGTTGATGAGATTTTTTTAAATGATCTCACACAGTCCTTCACCACATCGAAACTGATCATTGGTGCATACAATGTTGATTTGTATTAGTTTGCGATTATTTCTCCTTTCTTTTGAGAGACAGAACGGTACAGCACAGAATCCGTCCTTTCAATATGCAGACCGGGATGTTATTTTAAACTAATCCCATCAGCCTGCTCACAGTCCATTTCCCTCTATTCCCTGTCTGTCTAAATGACACTTAAACATTGCTATCAATCGCTAAAACACTAAAATATTTCGTGAAATCAGATTATCTAGGATTGATGTTTCACATAACCGCCATCTCAGCTTTTTCAGGTGTCTTCGATACTCGTGTCCATGTTCCGTGGACAGTTACCAAACTGAGAACAACAGCCAGACGGGGGAAGCTGCAGGGAATATTAATCCCAGGCCTGCAGACCCAGGCCTCACCTGGCCGCCGCTCTCGAGTTGTGGTCCAGCGAGGGGCTGTCCCCGGGTTCCTGGGCACAGCAAGAGGCCACTCAAAGCATGCAGACACCGACAAGCCGCCCAGCCGAGTCTTAATCCGATTTCCCAGCCGCCGCTCCCGGTTAATTCCGACCGTTTGGCTCCGCTGTCCCGGTCGCTCATGGTAACCAGAACCACTTCCGCCAAGACTACGGGCTCTGACATGTGCCCCAATGCTAACACTCCCCTCCCCCCCAAAAGACAAACTCCACTTTCAAAATATGGGCTCAGTGCCTCTCTCCCTCCTCCTTACATGAGACACAGTTCCATTCACTAATCTATCCAGGTCTTGCATTTTTTTAATGAACGGATTTATTGGAGAAACGCACTACTATCTAAATATCTGTATACTGTTTTAATTTAATGAAACTACTGCGGATGCTGGAGATCTTAAACACGCAAAGACAAAAATTGTTGGAGAAACTCAGCAAGTCTGGCAGCAGCAGAAAGCATGTTTCCTCTTGTGGGGCAATCTAGAACAAGATGTTATAGATTTTTGAGGAGAAATTACTTCTCTTAAAGGGTCCAGTGAATCCATGTAATTCACAATCCCATAGTGCAGTGGATGCTGGGACATTGAGTAAATTTTAGGAGGAGATAGATTTTGAATGAATAATGGATTGAAGGGTTGTGGAGAATGGGCAGAAAAGTGAGCTTGAGGCCAAGATGAGATCAGCCATGATCGTACTAAATGCTGGAGCAGGTTCAAAGGGCTGAATTGCCTAGTCTTGCTCCTAGTTCTTATCGGTGGAGTGAAAACAGAGTTAATGTTTGGTATCCAGACATCCTTCTTCAGAAAAGTTTTAATTGTTTTATTCAGTCTTAGGATGTGGGTATCCCTGGTATGGGCCAGCATTTATTGCCTAACCCTAATTGCCCTGGAGAAGGTGGGTGGTGATCTGCCTTCTTGAAGGTCAGAAATCAGACGACACAGGTTATAGTCCAACAGGTTTATTTGAAATCACAAGCTTTTGGAGTGTGCTCCCTTCATCTTCACCTAATGAAGGGGCAACGCTCTGAAAGCTTGTGATTTCAAATAAACCTGTTGGACTATAACCTGGTACCATCTGACTTTGTCCGCCCCAGTCAAACACCAGCACCTTCACATCATGCCTTCTTGAACCTCTGCAATCCATTTGGTATTGGTAGAGCCACAAAGCCATTAGGGGGGGAATTTTGGGATTTTGACACTTAAATATATATTTATGAAGTTAGATATATTGAAAATAAATAAATAATGTTTGGCAAATGCATTAACTATGTTGCATTTCACTGCTCCTTTCTGGCATAAGATCACACACCTGGAATGTTAACTCAGTTTCTCTCCCACAGATGATGTCCGACCTGCTGAATATTTCCATCATTTTCTCCTTTTTTACATAATATATGACATTTAATTTCACACAAGAAGCAATAAGAATTGCAGACATGTCATTTGTCACCAGGAGTAGAAATACCTTGTGTTGATCAGAAAAACATAAATGATTTTGATCGCTATCATTTTTATGCAAGTGAAGATGGCTATATGTGTGGCTCATATTAATCTTAAAGGTACTACTAATATTCATGACCCATTTGAAACATTTACTTAAACTGCTTTGAAAATATTCCAGCTGCTACTCTATTTCTTTGTTCTTTTGTGTTTTACATGTTTTTAGCGTTTTACACATTCTATTTGAAGTTATTTGTGACATTTCATTTTTGACTGATTCATTAAACAAATGATCAATCATGAAGCTGAACGTAGTCTTTCACAATGTTTATCAAAGCTTTTGTAAATTTCAGGAGATTCGTTCAGACTTATTAAACCCACACCCAAAGTGTATTTTTCAGTTCATATTCATTGTCAGTGTTTTCCCTATTTAAATTATTCAAACTACATAAATATTTAATAAGAGTAAATAATATGTGCTAATTATTGCATGCAGTATGTAAAGAAGACCTTTGATAAGTTATACTTATATTCACTCCCCTGAGCAAATGAAGGTCTCTCTGGATAAGTAAACATAATTGCTTGTCCTGATTTCAATTATATTGTATTTGTGTTCTTTAATATTTAATTATTGTGTTAAACTTGGGTTGTGTAGCACTGCTAAGTTGTCACATTTACCAGCCAAGGTTATGCGACCTGTCCTTGTAATTTTGTAGTAAAATCCTGGCGCCACTCCGTGAGCCTGTGCCATGGCCCCCCACAGTCACATATCTTTCCTGAGGCTCCAATTTTGATCATAAATTCACAGGTCAGTCTCCTCTGTTCTCATTAGTGTCATGTTTTTGGGGGCTTATTGGGCATTTAATTAGGTGGAACGCTAGTACACCTGAACCACTCTGCCTTCCTGTGTCCACCAGAATTAAGTTCTTGGTGGACAGGCCAATTGTCAACCTTCCCACCATATCACGAATTGAGTCCCTTAAACCGGCCAATTAATGACCACTCCAGGACCTCATTCTGAGGTATTAACCCAGCAGTGGAGGGGGGGTGCTGTATGCATAGTAGCTACAACCATGCAGCCACCTTCTCACCTCTGGGGATTGGGCGGTGGTCCCTTGATCAGAGCATTCAGAGTTCCCTGCTCCCATTCACACAACAAACTTGTGCTCCTAAATGAAAGCATCTGCCTCCTACTTCTTTGTCAATGTAATTAACATATTTAGTGAAGAGCAAAAATCCCAGCACAGATCTGTGAGAAATACCACTTATAATAGCAGCTCCAAGAGAAAAAACATGTTATCCCTACCATCTTTTACATCAAAATAATTACCAACTAAATTTAGAAAATTATCATCAATTTCATGTCCTTTTTTTTCTACTAATCTCTTATGTGCAACCTTCTGGAAGTTCATACAGAAAACAATTCAACTTTACATGGCACCTTTAATCTAGTTAAATGTTCCAAGGCAGAAGGGAGCAGTATCAAACAATATTTGGTACCAAGCAATATAAGGAGGCATTAGACCACATGATCAGAAGTCAATCAAAGAGATAGATTTTAAGGAGGATCTTAGGAAAGAAAAGTAAGAAGGCAGACACATTTGGGGATTGAATTCCAGAATGTAGAACCTTGCTGGCTAAAAGGCAGGGATGTCAAAGGTGGAAGTTGGGGGGATAGAGGTGGAGGGTTAATATGAGGGACATGCAAAAGCTGAAAAACTCTCCATCATGCATAATTCATTAAACGCAACAGTAAGTAAAGTATACAGTGACGTAGGCTTAGGTGAAGGTTACAAGAATGCTTCCAGGAATAAAAAAAAAATCAGTTATAAGATTAGATATTGAAGAAATTAGGAACAAAAACAGAAATTGCTGGAAAATCTCAGCATCTGTGGAGAGAAAGCAGAATTAACATTTTGGGTCCAGTGACCCTTCTTCAGTTTAAGTTGGCTAAGCGGAGATTTTATAGACATTTTCAAAATCGTGAGTGTTCTGGAAAGAGTAGCTTTGGAGAAACTGTTCTCACTCATAAAAGAATTGAGAATAGGAAGGCACCAATTTAAAGTAATTCACAAAGTAAACAAACACAAGGTGAGAAAGAAACTTTTCATACAATAAGTGATGAGGGTCTGGAGTGAACTGCTTGAAAGTATGGTAGAGGCAGGGTCAAGCAAGTCTTTCAGAAAGGCTTCAGATGATTATTTAAATAGAAGCAATATGTAGGCTTACAGCGACAATTTAGGAGAATGGCACAATGCTGTAATGTTCATTTGGCATTCAGTGAGCCAGTGCAGATATGATGGGCTGAATGGCTTTCAATCTCTTAAAAACAAATGTTCTCTTCTAAGTCAGAAGCTTGTGAATTGAATTCCCATACCAAAGGTGCGAGCACATAATCTGGGCCCTAGCACTGCACATTACTGAAGATTCTAAACCAAAAACATTCCTCTTCAAGTGGACATAAAAAACATCCATCAGACCATTCAAAGAAAAGTAAGGGGTTCTCCAGTGTTGCTGGCGATTATTTAAACTCTATTCATCAAATCATACAACCATTTCAGCACAGAAGGAGGCTATTCAGCCCATTATATCAGTGGCAGTCTTCCCTTCAATTTGTAACTACACATACTCACTGATGGAATCAGTGTTCATTCTTCAGTCAAATCGGTATCCACCAACCCATTGCCTTTTTATTTCATTTCATGGCTTCAGTCTTGTTAATGCCTATTTTGTGGTACTTTATTAGTTGTGTTCTGAAAATAAATATACACAATATCAACTGTACTATCTTCAGCATTGCTTGTTTGTTCTTTGAGGCAATGATAACCATTACCATTGTCTATGGTGCTTGATAGGGCTCCAGGATGTAGGTGAGTGTTAAAGCTGAGTTGTGTCTGACAGATTCTGTTGTAAATATGTCAGGATACTGCCACTTTGGATGGTCTGTTTGCCCTGCTTAGGTTTCTCCCTGCATCTGGTGTAAGCTTGATTACAAAGGAACCACATTTTGTTTGGTTGCACCAGGTACAGCGATGCTGGGGAGTTTCTCTCTGGATGAAAAGTCAATATCGAAAAACCTAAGTGAAGCCTGCAGAATGATCTTCCAGCATTCCTTTCGACCATCATGAGAGTGCACCCAAGACTCAAGTTCTCAATGAAACAATGTAACAGTTGTTGGTTGTTGCATGGTGTGCACGGAGTGGGACAGGACTGTTTAACTAGAAAAGCATATCACAAATACAGTCCATGATCAGAACAGTAGGGGAAAATAATTAAATTAAGTCCTTCTTATGTGAATGCATGACACATTCACAATAAGGTTGACCAAGTACCATAAATAGAGATAAATGATTTAGATCTAATTACTATTACAGACACATAGCTACAAGTTAACCAAGGTTGGGTAATTTATTATTTCAGGGTACACAACATTTTGAAAAGGCTGACAGAAAGTAAAAGGTGGAGGAATATTCCTGATTGTAAAGGATGACATACAACAATAGTGGGAAAGGATATTGGCTGAGAAGATAAAGAAATAGAGTCAACATGAGTGGAGATTAGGAATGATATTGGTCAGAAAATGCTGGTGAGAATAGTTTATAGGCTCTCATAACATCAGTTATGTAGTTTCAAGAAATATTTAGAGCTTTTAATTGTAGCAAACTTTAATCTTCATATACAATAGAAAAAATCCAATTGACAAAG